GGGGAGGGGAGGGGAGGGGAGGGAGCGCCAGCCAGCCAGCCCCGGGTTGGGGACAGGGGAATTGAACGCAACTCTGCGCAAGTTTCATTGAGTCGTTCCCGGGTTTGGGGGGACGGGACGGGACCATCTTGCCCCACTCCAAATTCAAGACCTTCTCCATCTTTTAAAAAACCAAACTAAAATAATAATAATGATTGGCAGAATGTTTACTCACAAGCGTGTCTCACTCAATGCAGTGGGACTGACTCCTAGCTAAGTGTAAGTGTGTACAAGATGCAACCGAGCTTGTCATTCATGTTTTGTTCAGATATGACCAAAACCAAGAGCAGGATCCAGCCACCGTTAAGCACTTCTAAATTAAAGTTGTTTGTTTTTTTTAAAGAGGGCCGCGTTGAATTCAGTGACACCTACTTCCAAGTAAATATGCTTAATATCGAGGTACAATTCCCCCTGATTTCTAGCAGCGGGACGATAAAATGGTCAAGGGTGGCCGTGTTATGCCCTCGGGGTTTTAAAATTCTCCCTCCAAAACACACTCCAGGCCGGATTCTAATAACACATGTCTACTTGGACGTAAGTTTATGAGCACTTAGCTTGAATAACATTTCCGGCTGGAGCCATGGGTGGTGGAGGGGGAGAGTCTAGGTCGCCGACTCTCCGATAGGGCGGCAATCCCCAAATGATTACCAGGGCCCAAGCCCTAGCAAGACAGCGTGACTTACTTACTTCCACGCAAATCTGCGGAAAGAGAACTAGAATGATTCGGATCTTGGGAAGCTGTTTAGAATCAGAATTGAGCAAGACTTGCTTTAGGGAAAGGATCCCTCTCCGGATAGGAGTAATTTGCGCACTGGCCTTATTTTACCTGTTTGTTTACCCTTTACTTTTTACGACGCATCTGCATCCCAGACCCAGCGTGGCCAGGGAAGGGTCGGATACTGCGATCCAGAAAGCAATAGCTTCCATATAAGCATCTTTCCCAAAGAGGTTTGTTTTTAAAGTCCATATTGTTATCAATAAAAATAAATACTAAGGGGAAAGGTCTCTGTTTTCTAAAAAACAAAGCATTAATTGGGGGGAATTGGTTTGAATGCAGATAATTAATTCCAGCTCCAACCCTTTAAAATATTTCCCTTTCCAGTACTTTATACACTGGATTTGCAAATGCTAACCACAACGGGAGGTCGGGGGGGGAATCTTTTTTGAGAAAAATAGTAAAAGACAGAATTCAAGAGCAGGGGAAATAAAAATTTAATTTAACATTTTTATCTTTTCCTGCACCTCCGGGAATGGTTTCAATACCTAGGGATTTGAAGTGGAATCATATTTAGTATTCTCTAGATAAAGAGACACAGAGAACTATGTGGTCCCTTTCAGAGAAAGAAAGAAAGAAAGAAAGAAAGAAAGAAAGAAAGAAAGAAAGAAAGTCTCCGCCTCCCCTTAAATCCCAGAACTTCCCCAAGCAAAGCCAGTCCCCAGAAAAGGCCTGGAGAAAGTTCAGCTTCACCTCTTTGAACTGGCGTCTCCCCTCCTCCGCCCAGCAGCGACCAAGTTCATTAGGCAGGGATTCGCCGGACCCGCACACTTGCTCCCCTCCGTTGCGGCGGGGAGCCGGGGAGCGGAAGCCCCGGAGAAAGAAGGAAAACACTCCTCTGATCTGTGTCTGGCTACTGGAAGTTTATTGTTTCGTATCTTTTTTTGAACCAGCCAGGCGTTTACAGGCGCTTTCTAACACAGGTAGTTTTCTCTCCTCTCCCACCTCTCTAGATTTTTCAAATAACAAACTTAAAAAAAAACCCAAACCGTATTTTAAGAGGCCGTTGTGGACCTGGAAGGGGGGGGGAGCTTTTCCTCCTTCCTCGTTAATGGAATTGCAGATGAAAAACCCGGGCGACAGGGAGCTTTAAAGGCCGTGATATATATATAAATAAAAGGGCAGCGAAATGACATTTTAAGTTAACCAGACTCTACAAAAGTCACACTTCCCAGCCTTTCAAGGATCTGACAGGGCACATTTGCAGTGCGGTCCAAATCACGGACGCCAGACCCAGGGTAACAATAAAGCGTAAACGCCCACGAATCGGGCTGTGTTGTGTCGAGGACTTTGGGTTGCAGTCTGATCCTGCGCGAGTTTACTCGGCAGTAAATCCCCGCGAGTCCAGTGGCGCTTCCTGCCGAGTTCAATGCACTGCAGCCCCGCGACAGCCCTGTCATGCTGGGGGTGAGGATGTAGTTTTGGAAAGTTCCTCCTCTGTCTTGGGTCACCGAAGTTCACTGCTCTGCAGAAGGAAGATGCTCTCCCGCTTCCGGGACTGCCGGCTCCCGGTTGGAAAGCCGCTTCCCGGGCCCTCAGCTCGACCAAAATTCGTGGGGTTCACGTCTTAAAATTAGAAACGGATTCGGATGGGCCTCTTGAGAGCAGTCGAAGCCCCGCAAACCCTTTGGGTTCCCCGCCTACGGCTGGGTCTGGAAAAGAAGTCTCTTTGCAGGCTGCAAGTTTGAGAATGTTTCGCCCAGAGCAGGAAACTGACAAAGACTGGGAATGTCTCTTTTTGCAAGACAATCGCAAAAAGAGTCGAGCCTTGGGAGGGGGAAAAATATCCCTAGTTCCCCAGCATTTCAAATCCCGCAGAAAGTCCAAAGTGTGAGTCGCTTTCCTTTAGTCTTTCAAAACAAATCTCTCGCACCAAATTCGTCCCCACCCCCCTGTGGCTGCTGCAATGAAGTTTCAAGGCTTGATGGGGGTGGAGGAGGGGGGAGAAGAAACTCAGGAGTCGGTGCCAGGAAAGACCCACACCGATAAAGTTCCCTGGGACCCCCAAAGATGGAGGCTTTCTACCATCCCTGGACGCCTTCCAGCCCCCCAGCCCCCCTCTGCATTGTCTGCCTTGCACATGTCTTTGTTTTGATATTCGCGAGAGGGTTTCTTTCCTGATTTCCCCCTCTCGATTGGTTTTCAGAACATGCCCCCCCTGAGCCCGGAGAAGCCTGCCTTGTGCGCTGGGTGCGGAGGCAAGATCTCGGACAGATACTACCTGCTGGCTGTGGACAAGCAGTGGCACCTCCGGTGTCTTAAGTGCTGTGAATGTAAACTGGCTCTGGAGTCAGAACTCACGTGCTTCGCCAAGGACGGCAGCATTTACTGCAAGGAGGACTATTACAGGTACAGGCGCCCCTGGGGTGGGGAGGGATTCCCGGTTTCCTTTGAGGGGGAGGGGAGATAACACCCCCCCCCCGGACGAAGGTAAAATCCTCTTTGCAAACGGAAAGCCTCCCCTGAGGTCCCAGAATTTCGAAGCTATTGGGGAGCTCCTGAGCAGGTGCTGATTCACACGTGCTCGTGATCACTGGGTATCTTGACCGGGTCAGACGGGCACCTGTGCTGTACACTGCAATGATGACCCACCAGGGTCGGGTTGAGAGGCAAGAAAGGCAGCAACCGATCGGGTTCCAGCCGCTGTCTAGTCTTGCAAACCCTTGGTGCACCGCCCTGAGCTCCATAGCAGAACAGCATCCTAGAAATGTGAGAAATCAATCAGCCGGGGGCTGCTTGCAGGCTAATCCTTCCACGAGTGGAAAGCCAGTAGGATTTGCACGTATGAACCCGCCAGATGTGCATCATGGCAGGTGGACTTTCACTGTCAAGCAGCCGCAAAGGCAACGGAAACACTTCTGCATTCAGCCGCCAGCCCAATTCACATTACGCGAGTGTAGGGAAATCACTCTCAGTTGTGCAAGTGTGAACCACTGGCTCTGTCTGAGGTCCCACAGGGGAAAAAAATCCCTCTGTGGTTTTAACAGGAGCCTGGCGCCTCCTTTGACCCGTAGCCAAAGTGAATCTGTGCTGACTGGCAGTGGCAGCCGAAGGGGTCGAAAAGCTTGGTAGATTCCAAGGGAAGTCCTAGTTGCCTGGTTTACAGGGCTTGACACCCGCGTGCAAATCGCCTCTTGAGTGCTGCCAGTCAGGCACGCGAGCCAGGCCTCGGAAAGTTGGGGCGGCGCTTCCAAAGCACTCCTTTCACAGAGGCCGGTCTTTTGGGACCATCTACATGGGGCAGAGGCACCGACTTGCCTATAGGCCGGCCGGCTGGGGCTTGGTTGCCCACCCAGGGGCAGCAGGGGAAAAGGTGCA